CACAGTGCACAATAAAAAGTACACGTCATTGAAAATGAAACAGTCCCCATGGGTACTTTTTTAAAGTGATCTCTAAACACAGACATCCCAAAGAAAGGAATATATTATCAAGTTTCATGCAATTGCAGAAGAAATCAATGACCTATCTTTTTATAGCATAATAGTTTAGTTTTAATATTATTTTTGTGTGTGAAGTATTAGCTTAGTTTTTTGACGTTTCATTCTTTCTTAAACATTTGTAACCATTGCCAATCCCTCTGGGGAATGTGTAAGTGTTAATAAAATTAAAATGTGACAACTGAGGTTAGTGGGGTTAGTATGATAGTAGATTACTAATACAAGACAGCCATGTATTCATTATCTATTATGCCTGACACTCATATGACAGACATGATACAAACTGGAAATAGTTTATTTGTGCATGTTTTATGTTAAATGATCAAGGCATGCAGAGATACAGCCTGAGAACAGCATTCGATCATTTTGAATTCAGTCTGATAAAAAAAAATGATGTGCAACAATGAACATACCAATTTTGAATGAAATATGTCTATGCACAACTAAGACCTGGTTCAAAATGCCAGAATGGCTTGATTTTGATGAATTTGTACCACTACAATGGACACCATTCAGCAACCTTGAATTGGATTATGAATCAAATGCAAGTATGATATGACGTGTGCGTGAAGTTTGAGTGAAATTGGCAATGTCATGAATGCAAAGTAAAAACATTTTTTATCTTGGCCAATTGTTATGGCTATAATACTATTAAGTGTCAAAAACTTATCAGACTACACTTGATTAAATTACCACAAATATATATTGATTAAAAGTTGACATCACTAGTGAGAAATTCCACAAAATAATGAAATTTGTTACAATTTAGAGTCAGATTCAATAGTAGGAAGCCTTTCCATTAACAACTTCCATGCCTTTTCAACCTAGTAAATAAACAAGAAAGAAGGAAAAATGTATGAATTATTCTGATTGATGAGTTTTCTTGATATACTGCATTAATCAACCAGTACCTATAAATTAATCAATGGTGTAAGTCAGAAGACTAAGTGATTAATTTCAATCTTTCTAAAATACATGATATATGAGTATACCAATGACATTGCTATGTTGACAGGGGCTATTTTAAAGCACTCAAGCCATGCACAGATTCCTTTAACACCAATTAAGCAAGAACCAGAGTATTGTACATGTGTGACTTTCACATTGTTAACAACCATAAGCTGGCCAATCACTAAAATGGTCACTAATAATGAGTCATACTGTTAATTGCTCTTGGAATATAACAGACACGAATGGATGTCAAAATATGAGCACTGTCTCAGTACTCTGTACATATCAGTTTTGAATACTGCATTATAAACCCCACAAATAAGAGGGGGAAATATTGGGATTACTATCGATGAAACCAACCTGTTTCTGTGTAATGTCTGGTTCCCATAGTGTACTGAAGATAACATTAGCATCCTTAACTCTCTCATTATTAGTGATTTGTGATTCAATTCTTTGTAGTGCTCTGTCATTGGTCAGTCCATCGCGATTGATGATTCTTGTGATAGCCTATAGAATCATACATAATATACTGTGTCATTTTGTCATATTGAATAAATTCCTATGTACAATCATAAACTGATATACAATTATATTTAAGGTAAGATAACTAAACAGTATTCCCAACTGATTAGTGTACGTTGCAGCGAGGAGCAACTTTCAATACATCTATGCCAAGTAACAAAACTGAGGATTTGTTATGCACAATATACATCAGTTTTTCACTCTGGTCCATGAAAATTGATAACCCCGATCCATGCTATGCCACATTTTTGATATTTTGATGTACCACTAAATTATATGTGAACACGTACCAACACCATACAAAGATGACAATCATAAAACATACTAAACTGAAGGACAAAATTTTCCCCTATTAAAGCAGTACATTTCACTATTAGCCCCCCTCTCCCCACGTCGCTCTTTGTTTGATTTGAGTGATGTACTGAAATGTTCCTTCATTATTTAAAAAAAAAAAAACTCTTCAGAATGTATGCATGTCTGAGACTGCTGTGCAAGTCATACCTCATCTTTAGGAATGATTGACACCCACACTTCATGTACATATTTTGTCCAGTTGGCTTCTATGAGAACCGCTGCATCCAGCACAATAACTTCTTCACCTAGAATAAATCCCAATATCAGTTAGCTTACATACTAGAGGTTATCAAACTGTCATATTTACAAAGAGAATTTCATCTTACCTTGTTTAGCAAGGGCAGCAATTTGTTGATTAAATAAGTTGGCAATTTCTGGCCAGACAATCTGATTTAACACCTGTAGTCTGGATTTATCTGCAAAGACTTTTGCACCAAGAGCTTTTCGATTGATTTGACCATTGTCAGCTACAATGTCTGGAACAGGAGCACATAAGATATAATCAATATTCCATTTTAGTTTATTAATATTTAAATTCCAACACTTCTTTGCTCTAAAAATTAGATTTGGCAAATTGAGAAAGTTTCACTGATCATCGGTAACATTGTGGTTGATGTGATTGGGACATTATCAATACATCCAGAGTTCACATCCTACAAACTTTCCATTATACAATAGGTAGATGGTTACATAGCCCTGGAATATGGTTTTTGTGAAAAAATACACTATATTCATTGTCAAGCATTCAATATGCAGGTAACATGGATAGACTAATATCTTGGCTGAGATAGGAAGACTTAAGTCATTGACTGAGATAGGGAGACCAAAATCTTGGCTGAGATAGAAATACTTAAGTCATTGACTGAGATAGGGAAACTAAAACATTGGCTGAGATAGGAAGATTAAAGTCATTGACTGAAAAAGGGGACTAAAGTCATTGACTGTGATAGGGAGACTAAAGCTATTGACTGGGATGGGAAGACTAAAACCATTGGCTGAGATTCATTCATGATGATATAAATTAGTAAATCATGAATGAGATACAAATGAGCTGATGTTCAAAATCTTTTCAGAATATGCAAATTGTTTGCAAATCATAAATCAAAGGGTACTGCTGCTGCTTTGTTATACATTGACTAATGATAAAACATCGGTAAGATGTTCAATGATAAGGCAATAGTTTTCTGGCAATGGACTGAAAATAGTTGAACTATGAATAGCGTTTTGGGTCATTTATCATTTTTATCAGAAGTGACACACAAATCTTGGATTCTGCTCAACTCACACATGAACAAGACGACTCAAAAGATCGATGTCGGATAAAAAACTTATTTCCTTTAGTTTGGGGGTGGGGGGTTTTGACCTCAAAAAGTTTCCATCCTACAAAAACGATTTTATTTTTTAATGAAGTCAAAAAAATCTTGGAGTATTTGTAGTTCGTTTTTTTTTAATATCAGATCATGGACAGAAATAACCGAAAAGGA